GTTCTAAATTATCAACCACTGCCACCACTAAGCATCTATTTTGTATTTAGAATATAGTAGCTCATTTAACCTAACCCTGACCACACAAGGTCAATTCCACTCTTCCGAGCTCACACAGTGAGTAAGCAACTCAGATGCCCACACTAGCTGTGAAGCTGTTTTCAATCATTTGAGCCCAGTAAACCGACACCTGTCAGGCAGGGCAACAGCAATGGAGACAGGGTCTAGAGGGAGCCAAGAGTACCTGGAGGGCTTCACACAGAAGGTGACCCTGGGCCTTGAAGCATGTGTAGGAGTCCTGGAAAGAAGGGTAGAAGGAAGGGCAAGATTTTAGAAATTTGAAAGAACAGGCCTCTGGGGTATTTCTGGGCCATACAAACTTGAAATGGAAACGCTGGCTTTTTGTCACTACCTACAAATGCCTTTCATGTGACACTGGGAGTCTTGGTGTCCCATGGTCATTCCTGACTTTCCCATTTTGACTGTGGACTGTAGGTATGAGAGGCCCTCAGACATTTGGCAACTAACTGCCTTCCACTCTCTTCTGTGTTCCTGTGGGGCCTCCTGGGAGCCATGAAGCCTCTCCTTCCCTCAGTAGCTCTTTGCTGCCTCTCAGCTGTGGAGTCCTGAGTCACTTTACTTCTCCAAGCCTCAATTTTCTTATCTGTGAAGCCCCCCTACCCATCAGCTTTGGAAGTTAAAGGACAATTAGAAGAGAGTGTCAGTCAGGGCCTTGGAGAGTTTGTGTTTATTTGTTTGGTTTGGTTTTTTGAACAGATTCAACCCTTCCAAGATGATGGTGGCTCTTCTTATGGTTAAGGCCTTGGAACCCAGAAGGGAACTGAGACATCCAGGTATACTGAGCCAGTGGAGGCAAGCTTGTGCTCATGAATAGGCTCTGTCCTTTCCTTCCTCCTGCCCTGCTTTGCTCCCTCGTACCACAAAGGGCAGAGTGAAGCCTGTAGCTGAGCTTGGCAGGAAAAGCTGGCTTCAGGACAGCCCTTCTCTTCCTCAGCTGAGCACAAGCAAATTTCCCAACAGGCTATGTGTGACAGCTCCCCTATCAAGAGTGGGGACCCTTGGACATTTGGCAACTAACTGTAGGCTAGTCTCTTCCTGGCACTGCTCCCTGGCTTGGTTGAAGCAAGGCCTGCCAGGAGAGCCAGAATTCCAGCATGGGACAGCGAGGCCTTGAGACCAGCGGGAGGGGGACCCATTGCCCACCCTCTCATGGAAGCTGCTTGGACCTTGTTCATTCTCACCACCTATGACTCTTTGGGAGACTGCTTCTGCTATTGCCTCAGAAGTTACCTCCTTTCCTAGCCCTAAAACCCCCAAGACCTGGCTCCCCTCACCTCCTGGAAGTCTGAAGGCAGCTGGGAGAGAGTGGCTGTCTCCATACACATCCTCCATGTATACCTCACAGGCTACAAGTCCTGCCCTGGGTTCCTCCTTTGTTTCCCCCCTGAGCACTATGGCCAAGCTAACACTGCAACAGTGATGATGGTGATGGTGGTGATGATGGTGATGGTAATGGTGATGATGGTAATGATAGTGGTGATGATGGTGATGATAATGGTGACGATGATGATGGTAATGATGGTGATGATGGTAGTGATGATGATGGTGATGATAGTGGCGATGGTGATGATGGCAATGGGAGCTATCTGTCTGTCCTGGTTAGTTTTTGTTTTTAATCAACCAGATACTAGAGTTATCTGGGAAGAGGAACTTCAGTTGAGAAAATGCCCCCATCAAATTGCCTGTAGGCAAGTTTTAATAGCTTTTTCTTAGTGATAGAGGTGGGAGGGCTCAGAACACTGGGTAGAGTTCCACCATAGGCTGGTGGTCCTGGGTGGTATAGGAAAGCAAGCTGAGAAATCCATGGAGAGCAAGCCAATAAGCAGCACTCCTCCATGGTCTGCTTGGATTCCTACTTTGCATTCCTGTCCTGATTTTCCTTCATGATGGACTACAGATGTAAGCTGAAATACACCCTTCCTTCCTCAAGTTGCTTGCAGTTGTGGTGTTTATCACAGCAATAGAAAGTAAACTAAGACACTGACCTACCTCTGCCCCTTGGAGGCTGGTGCCCTCTAGTACCAAGTAACTCGAAGGGCCCCTCGGAATCTAGGAAAGACTCGACTCGGCGACATAACAAAGTAGGTGAGGCCCTCTCTGATCACTGTCAAGAGTAAAGAGTCTGATGCCCCTTGGGTCCTGTTCTTTTAGCCCAGGTCTCCACAGGAGCCTGTCTGCCCTGCGCCCTCACATCTGCAGTGCATACCTCCACATCCTCCAGGGACAGGGAGTGTCTCAGCATACACTGGAAGCCAGGCGCCCAGCAGAGGAGGGGAATCCCAGAGGGAGAAGAGGGTGGGGAAAGCCTGAGAATGAGAGCTAAGGCAGAGGAGAGGCCTGTAGGGTCTCATTGGCCATAAGATGGCCTCATGGGAAAGTTGACTGTTTGGGGCTAATGAGAGACATGGTATCTAAGCATGGAGTATTGTAACGAAGGAGAAATTCAAGATCAGCAAAATTAAGTCACATGACAAGCAGTGGGTCCAGAACTTGGGACCATGAGGCTCTACCCCCATTCTTAACTGCTGCTGCTGAGGCCTGCAGACGACCATGGGAGTGGGTGAGTGGAAGGCTCACCAAAGGCCACAAAAGCCGTGGAGTCCTCTGTGTGCACTCACTCAGGGCAAACCCAGAAGCTAGATGTCCCACAGGTCTGCAGTGGAGTCCAAGTGAGCTGTCATAGTGAGAGTCTGGGCCTCCCCAGCCAGCAGAGAGCAAAGCCAAATCATGGCTAAGCTAGCAGCTGTGTGTGCGAATCTGCTCACACCTGACGCTCACTTTATTGTCAGCACTCTCCCTGGACAGGCACTGTCTCTCATCCATAAATGAGGAAACACAACTTCAGAAGACGCTGGAAGTTTAGCCAGACTCTTGCAGGAGATGACAAGGCAGAATCCAGGCACCCAGGTCTGCATGGCTCTCACCCTAGTTTACCTTTCAACAAAGTAAGGACCAAGAGCAAAACTTGCCCAGAATGGGCCTCTGGACAAGCCCATTCTTGACAGTCTCCATGAAGTCCTCCGGTGTCCACAGGTTCTGCTCATCAGTTAAGCCATGTTGAGTCAGGATGGCAGAATAGGGCGTGGGGTGGTGATGAAGCGAATGCACGGTCTGAGCAGAATAGAAATCCAGACTGGAGAGGGCTCTGTGGTTAAAGACTGTATTATAGCTTACCCAGAGAACCTGGATTCAGTTCCCAGGACCCACTGCAGACATATTACAACTGTCCGTAATTCCAGCTCAGGGATCTGGCACCCTCTTCTGGCCTCTGAAGCCACCTACACCCATGTGTACATGTGGATGCAGGCCAGTGCACACAGGAGACACACACACACACACACACACACACACACACAGGGGGGGGGACATATACATCACCATAATAATAATAATAATAATAGTAACTTAAGAAGACAAGAAGTCCATAGAAATGAAGAAATGACACCACGGTATATGCACAATGTCAAGATTTCATAAACCTGGGACATCTGTTCTGTGTGTGCTCCTGCACCACTCTACATCTGATTTTATTTTAAAGATGTATTTATTTTTACTTTATGTGCACAGGTGTTTTTCCTGGGTGTATGTCTGTATGTGAGAGTGTCCAAGATTATTTTCTAAATATGGCATTTTATGACAAGTCATGGTCCCCGATGCCTGTGGGTATAAAAGGAAGGTTCTGGATGAGGTGCAAAGGGGAAAAACCCAGGGTCGAGATTTCCTGAAAACTCTCCCTCACCTCCTCCCAAAAGACAGTGACCATCATCTGACTTGGTATCTTCGCATAGAGGTAGCAAGCCTCCTTGAGCCTTGGCAAGGATCCCTGTGAAACATCTGTCAGGCTGTGTACACAGCTCCGTGTTTCTTCCTATGAAGGGCGGGAGGACTCCAGCTGGGGCAGACAGACAGCAGGAGGGGGGACCCCCAATTAGAAACAAGTGATGAGAGAAAAAGGAAACCTCAAAAGGACCCAGGCTTCCTTAGACTTCCATAAGTCTCCGAAGCCCAGCTGCCTCTGGTCACCATGGAGACTAGGGCCCCCTAATGGGGTCACGCCCACATGTGGCATAGTCCCCACCTCTCCCTTCCGGCCAGGCTCTCCCGGTTCCGATTCCGATGGTGTTTGAACTATCTTGGCTCTAAGAGTAGCCCGATGTCCCCTCGGAAGCCTCAAGTCTTCTTCTGTCAGATGGAGGGGTGAAATGTGTGAAAACTGATACTTGGTTAAGAAAACTGGGCTGAGGAAACGATGGAATATTGAATGCTGAGCGAGAATGTCTGCTGCTTATTAATTCAGAAAAAAAAAATGTACTTTACAGGGCTACCCAGTGTGATCCCATTTCTGGCAGAAAAAACAAACAGGCAGGACCAACTACGTACACTTGCCAGGAAAAAAAAAAAAGGACAGGAGAAAATTAAAATATGTTTGGTCTTGCTTCTTGGAGAAGAGTCCATGTAACTTATTATCGTGCTTATTTCTGAAGGTCTGGCTAAAATTGCCATCCCGATTCTCTTTCCCCCAAGGCATGCTGTGTCTACTTTCCCTGCTGTCAGGCCATTGCATTCTCACATTAAGTTAGGGGAAACGTGATAGTCTCCCTACTCTATAGAAGAGGAAGCCGAGGCTTGGAGAAGCTCAGAGAGGCCCTGAGACCTTCCTAATATCAACCTTAGAGAGTAGCAGAGATGCAAAGGACGAAACTCCAGAATTAGAGCACTTAAAAATCCCCCAGGCTTCCCGGGGGTGGGGAGGGGGGAATTAAGCTCCAAAGGTCCTGTTTTCTTAAACATCTTACTAGGGAAATACCAAAGGATTAGCAAATAGATACAGTGAATCTAGATGTGGTCACCACCCAGCTTCGAAGAAAGCATTAAATGACTCGGGAAAGGGATGGGGTGCCTAGGAAGAGGGATCAGCCCCAGAGCCACAGGCCTTAACAGGCTCGCGCGTGCATGCATGCGCGCGCACGGCACATGCGCACATGCCCTTGCTCGCACAGACCTCCAAGCTCCACTGGGGCAGCCCCTGGACTGGTCCCCAACGTTGATGGGGAACCGCAGCTGCCCTCCCCCTCCCGCCCCCACGGGTGCCTTCCTCCTTCCTCTTTCTACTACTGTTCTGCCCTTTCCCAGGCGGCTTCCTTATAGGTCTCAGGTTCCCCTCCGAGGCTTTGAGGTCTGGGCTGCCCTGGAGGACATGGCAAGGGGCCCTGACAACGTGCGGAAATGGTCAACCCTGGCGCTGCTGGCCATCATGGGCACAGCTCTGACAGAGGCCATCAACCCTGGTTTCGTGGCCATAATCTCCCAGAAGGGTCTGGACTTCGGTAATTGGATGCCTTTCTCCCTTTCTCCTTTATCCTGAGGGGCACTCATGAGCACTTAGGGTGCACAACCCTTTAAATCTGAGACTCCTCTCCACTGTTTGACAGAGGAAAGAAACTAAGGCATAATCTCATAAGGCTGGGAAGAGGCAGAGCCAGGACTGGACTACTGTTCTAAAATATTCCAAATGTCCCCAGGCCCTGAAGGTCCTCATGGTCTCCTCCCTGTACACTGTTCCCTGGCGCAAATTTCTAGGCCCTTTCTTTCCGAAGCCTGACGTCTGCCTTGCCCGGTGAGGTTGAGCAGGCTAGGTGAGGGGCTCTCCAGTGAGATACCCAAACTGGCTGACAGACCCAGAGAAAGACACCCCAGACTACTCCCCCAGTCCCAGGCAGGTAATACTCACCTGCTTCGCTGCCAGGCGCCTCACAGACCCACCGGGTCCGGTTTCTTCCACTGAAAGACTGGGTGGAACACACCACTCCTGTCCAGTCCCGCAGATGAGCACACCGGAGTAGTGCAGAGGCTCCGGGAAGCGTGCACCTGCTGTTGAGCTCAGGTCCTCGCTGAGGCCCTCCATAGAACTTCTTGGTGCTGCCCCCCGGTGACAGAGAAAGGAACTGCTGTAACCAGACTAAATGAGGACAGGACTTCAAAACCAGTGTGCACAGGCCCCAGGGGGATTTGCTTTCCTACTCCAGAACTCAGTTCCAGACTAGGCAGGACGGTTCAGAATCTCAGGGATGCAGACAGACCCCCCCAATTGAGTTTCGAGGGTTATGTTTAAACCCAAAGCTGGTGTGTGTGTGTGTGTGTGTGTGTGTGTGTGTATGTGTACAAGTCCAAACAGGAATGCATGTGTGTGACAGCTTCGGGGGAGCAGAGGCTCAGCAGAAGTCCTCACGCTGCCACAGCTGTCTTCTGCTGGTGTACCATGTGGCAACTGGAATGAGGTTTTGAAAAAGCAGCAAGCCTTCTTATGTTTGTGCCTTCCTCCCCTTGCCACACACCCAAAGGCTGACTCTGGGGCCTGAGCTCAGAGAACAAGAGGCCTGCATTCCCATGCCTCTAGCTACCTCAGCTGTGGGCTCTGGAGCAAAGCACTGGCCTTCCCCAGCCTGATTCCTCTTGTGGGGGATGGGAGGGGGTGAGAGGATCCTCTTCCTAGGATTGCTCAGCTTGCAGCAAGCAGAGCCTGCTGGATAGGAAGATGCCATGCACTTTATTGTTGCTATTGCTGGTTATGACTAAGTCCTGGGTGGTTCCTGGAAAACAGGAAGCTTATTCAGCTCACCTCTCTGCCTCCCTCCTCTTCCCTCCAGGCAATATGTTTGCCTGTTAATTGGATCCTTGATGTTGTTAGCCACCTCATCACTGGTGGCAGAATTCCTGCCTTTGGGGCATTCATTTATTTACTCAACAAATAGTAAGTGCCAGGCACCACGGTAAATACCAGAGATGCATTAATACATAAAAACTGACATTGCCACCAACTTCTGGGGACTTTCATTTAGCCAAGGAGAGTGGCATCAATGAGAGTCATTGTGAATAGATGCCTGATTACAAAGACAAATGGGTGCTTCGAGTGACACATCCAAAACTGTGAAGGTGGCTAGCTTCACAAACTATAGCCCATAGACTCAATGTGGCTTGCCGTATATTTCTGTATGACCTGTGAGCTAGTAAGGTTTTTGTTTGAGAGTGTGTGTATGTGTACATGATCATGAGGGTGAACACACAAGTGTGGGTTTATCTGGGAACCAAGGAAAACTTCAGGTGTTGTCCCTCATGCACTGTGTGTGTGTGTGTGTGTGTGTGTGTGTGTGTGATTCTTCATGTTCACTTGTGTGTATGGGTGCACATGGTTGTGTATGAGTGAGGGTGTCCATGTGTGGTGTGGATACCAGAAGTTGACACTGGGTGTCTTTCTTGATCACTCTCCATTTTACATGTTGATGCAAATCTTCAATCCAGAGCTCATTGACACAGCTGTTCTAGCCAGCCAGCTTGCTCTGGGACCGCTGTCCCCACCTCCTGAGCACTAGAGTCACAGACAAGTCATCACACTATCCAGCCTTTAAGTGGGTTCTGAGAACTTGAACTCTGGTCCTTATCCTATGTGGCACACTTTAACTGCTGAGCCATCTCTGCAGGCAGTTGCTTTGTATTTTAGAGATAGGGTCTTCCTGTATGGCCCTAAATACAAGCTCTCCTGTTTCCACGTCCCTGGTGCTAAGATTACAGGTACCTAGCACCTTGGAGGTTCAAATGGTTGGAAAAAATCAAAAGAAGGATGGCTCACTGCATGTGAATGACTGTTTCAGGGTTCCCAGTGCAGTGTTGGGACATGGCTACCATTCTGTCTTTGCCTGAGTGATATTGAAGTAGCATGAGACCCTGCTCCACCCTGCTCTTCCCACTATCATCAATGAGGTCAGGCCCAGGGGTCTAGAGCCTCTAGGCCTGCTGTCAGCTGAACTCTGAGCATGTCTCTGTTCTGTCTTCTAGCTTGCCAGGAGGGTGTGGCAGTGTTGCAGAAGGACCTAGAAGGTATCAAAGTTCCCGATTTCTCTGGAGTCTTTAAGGTGAAGCACCTGGGAAGAAATTACTATAAATTCTACAGGTGAGGCTTGATGAGGCTTAGTCCTCCAGATATGGGTCAGCAAGTTCTCAGCTCACAGTCTTCAACACCCCAAACCCAGCATGCACACCAGCCCAAGGGGATATGGCACCTCAAGCTGAGCCTGGATGAAGCTGCCAAAATTATCTTTTCAGCACCCTCCACTCCCACAGGAGACATCATGAAATTCAAACCCCTGTGCTACACACATGTATTCCAGGGACAGAAAAATGGCCTGGGCTGGAATCTATTACCTCACAAAACTGGGTAGTTCAGCCCAAGGCCCGCTTGAGCCAGGCTCATGTGTCACTGGACCATTGATCTGTCTTGGCACCTCTCAGTGTCAGGTCCTTTCAATCCTCCAGAGACAGAGAGCCACCAGGTAATTCTAAGAGCACAATCCCTTCCACTCTACTCCAGGAAGAAGCCTTCTCCTTGTGACACAAACCAAAGCTCTGAGGTCCACTCTGATTAGCCAAGTTTAAATAATGTGCATGCCCCTGAGCCAATCACTGTGCTAGAGGAGCAGAAAAAGCTTAAGTCCCCCCCCCCAAAGACAGGTGGGTTCCTAGCATGGAATGGGTAAGATGGCTCCCTAAAGTACACTTGCGGGTCTGCTGTCCCAAGAAAGGGGGTGAGGCTGCTGAACAGAAAACCCCAAGTGTTTCCTACAGACTTTTATGCCCCGTCCATACAGCAGACATCTTAGTATGTGTCACAGCGGCAGATTTCACATTCCAACAGTGAAAACAGGCAGACACATTCCACCCTACACAGAGCCTGCAGTCAAGTCTGCCATCTTTGTTGACCGTCACTCATCCTTCAAGATGTGTCCATTGTGAACCCAAGGAGCCTTAGACACGGAGACAGCAAATGACACATCCAGGGTGGCATGTGAGTGAAGGGACTTACAAAGCTCTCCAGGCCCAGAACACTGACTGGAACTTTTTCCTCTGCAGTATGGCTGTGGTTGGATTTTATATTCCTAATCCCCAGATCAATCTGCAGCCCGTTGATAGTCTCCAGCTGTCCATCAAGGATGCCAGCATCGAGATCATTGGAAAATGGACATCAAAGAAGAACCTCTTGTGAGTGCAGGGGTTGCTGGGTAGACTGGTGGCACTTGGGGGCATCAGAGCCAGGGTGCTAGCAATGTCTACTTCTGCCTTGTCTATAGATGTGCCACCACAGGGTCCCTAGTGGGGTGTCACTTAAAAACACTCGATGGAGCCCTGCATGAATAACTGAGTTGGTTCACATCCCCGTGCAGGATGTGGCAAGACTGAGTCAGTGTGTGTGGCTCAGAAGGGAAAGCTAAGTAGGACTTTTGGTTTCTTCCTGTATTAGCCAACTACTGCTGCTGCATACCAAACATCCCAATCTCAGTGGCTTGAAACTGAAACCATGGTGCATTGTCTGTATCTGTATATCAGCTAGGCCCAGCTGAGAGGTGTGGCTCCTTCTCTGAGGTCCTGTGTGCTGCCCGGAGCATAGTCTTAGTGATAGAAAAAGTACAAAAGGCAGAGCTGACCAAGATATTCTTGTCCCCTGTCACTTCCCTCCTACAAGGGCAGTGATTAACTAAGTTCATTAATCAATTACTAGGCCAGTAATTGCTTAAAGTCATGACACCTAACAGCCAGACTTTTAGTTACCAAAGTGAGATTTACACCCCCATGTTCAGCTGCTAGTACAAGGTCTGGGTGAAGAAACAGAAGCTCAGAGAGAGGTTAAGAAACATGCTCAAAGCCACACAGTAAGGGCTGGGGGAGGGGCAGGTAGGCAGAGTACCAGCTGAAAACAGATTGGGATATCAGGCTAGGACCCTGACATCCAGTGTTGTGAGGTTTGCACAGCTGCCTCTCCTCTCTGACACACCCCCATCCCTGGAGTGGGGCCAACAGGGAACCTGAGGTACTTCTGTATGAGGGAAGGATTTGATCCGGGTCACTTCTCTTTGTCTCCCTTTCAGAAAAGCCGGTGGCAAGTTTAGCCTACGTATCCAAGGTGTCTCCATCTCCGCTGACCTGAAGCTGTTCAGGAACCCCTCAGGCCACATCGCTGTTGAGTGTTCCACCTGCAGCAGTCACATTGACAGTGTCCATGTCCAAATCTCAGGCAGCATGCTGGGGTAGGTCTCCTTGGGCTGCAGTCCCAAGAGGAGACTGTCCCCCCAAACTCCCTTCCCCAGAAAGTAGACTCACCACCACACAGACCTACAGATCTTTTCAGAGCCTGGGGGTACGGTGGGGGGGGGGAGGGTAGGGAGAGCAGACACAGTCTCAAGGCGCAGCTCAGTACTGGCATATTCCTGCCTATATTCAATCACCTATGAGACTGGCTCTGCACCAGAGGCCTGAACAGACCATGGCAGGCATTAATAAAATCTCACGACTACTGGCATCAACCAGAGCCTTGCTATGTAGCCGGCACAGCTCAGCACACCCATGCTCTCATGCCATCTGCCCAGGGAACTCAGAAAGAGGTCTCATGACCACCATGGAGCAATCAAGACAGGTTGTCTGACCCTAGGCCCTCGGGCAGCCCATCCTGTTCTCTTAAAGCACCAGGTCCATCACAGGTTTGGGGGGGCACCTTAGTAGTGTTATTACATCAGTGAAGGGCTCACAGTAGGGCAATAAGAGCCTAGATTTAGAAAAGGTACAGAATGCCCCAGACACTTAGACCTGGAGGACCTGGCCCCGTCTGGGGGCAGGAGGAAATGACATTTGAACTGAGATGAAAAGAGTGAGTAGGCAGAAGTTGGTGGGAGGGTTTTTGGACAGGGGGGAACACATGTGTAAGCTGGGTGAGAACTGGGTGAGAGGAAGCAGAGATTACCAGGGAACAAGGCAAGCCAATGCCGCCGGTTTACAGAGAGGGAAGGCCTGCAGAGCTGGATATGGGATGGGACAGTTGTCTGTAGCTATTAAGAAAATAGTCTGGTAGACAGATTTCTAGAAATGGGGAGAAATGTCTAATGAAGGCTACATGACCCAGGGCTAGCTGCCAGGGTTCCCAGGCACATCTAAAAGTCCCTTGTATGTCCCCACATGTCAACCTCCAGGTGGCTGATCCAGCTATTCCACAAGAATATCGAGGCTTCCCTGAGAAACATCATTTATTCAAAGGTAGGAGGGCTTCAGAGGTAGCAGAACAGGGGCCTCAGAGTGACACCTTGACCTCGCTGGGCACCTTGGTCTTCATCCCTACCCCTCAGCATCCAGAGCCCAGCAGGGTGCTTCATAGAGAGTCCCACAGACAGTGCTGGGAAGAAGGGCAGTCCCTACCCAGCAAGCCTTCCTGTAACTGCCTAGCAGCTTCTGTGTATGTCACCCCAGCTCCTTCACAGAGGAACAGCCAGCCTCTGCTGTTTCCCCCAGCCACCCTCCCCTCCTATCCTCTCCTCTCCGCTCCCCTCCCCTGCCTGGTGCTGTCCTAGAACTCACTACCCCAAGGAAGATGAGGAAGATACTGCATCTGTGTGATTTCTTGCTGCCACTAAGAGGGACCCCTGTGGAGTTTTGAGCAGGGTGATGGTGAGGGTGCAGATGGCAGGGTGTCCCTGTTGCTGAAGGCAGACATAGCTTAGCGCAATCCCAAGAACTCAGGCCCTCACTCTTTAGAGGCAAGCATTTTTACCATTGAACCCCACATTTGGGGTTGTCCCCAAGAGGTACACACTAAGTTCTTTTCATCATTTATTTGCTTTTTTTTTGTTTTGTTTTGTTTTTTTTTTGTTTGTTTGTTTGTTTTGTTTTTCGACACAGGGTTTCTATGGGTAGCTTTGTAGACCCGACTGGCCTCAAACACACAGAGATCCTCCTGCCTCTGCCTGCCGAGTGCTGGGACTAAAGGAATATGCCACCATCGCCCCCCACACACTAACTTCTTTTTCTTGAAGAGCTTCTAGTTTACTGAGCCAAGGCTGAGTCTTTCTATCCTCTCACTGATTATTCTCCTAAAGAGAACACGAGAGATGTGTCCTTGCCCAAGCTCTTGGGCTCCTATGTGTCTCTACTGTGTCAGTCCACCCCATCCCCGCCCAGCACGATTTAGTAGGGAGAGTGGCTTTGTTTGTGGACATGTAGAAGGTCTTTATTTCCCTTTTTGCTGTCCCAGGTTAGCTTTGCCAGGTAGAGGTCTTGGCTGGGAGTTCTTTGTTTCCGGGTGGAAAATGCATCACCACTCTCCTTGCCTTAGGGGCTTCTGCGGTCAGGTGTGCCTTTGCTCTGGTAATTTTGCCTTAGTAAGTGCCTTCTCTCCTGCAGCCTCCAGGGTTCTTTCTTTGTTCCGGCTTCTTGGCTTTAGTTACAATATGACCCTTCCAGTAGGGTCTACACAGGGTTCCAAATATCTAGTGTACTTAAATGTCACTTCTCTCCCAAGATTGGAGAAATTTCCTGCTATAGTTTGTTTAATTGAGTAGGTTTCTCACCCCAGCTCTAGGAAGGTTTTACATGCAGGAAAGACACAGGAAGCATATATTCAGGCAATGTAGTCTTACACAGTTAACTGCTTGTGAACTTCCAGTAGCAAAGGCAAAAAGGAAACTTGATTAGCTGCATGATTTTTAAGAAGACACTAAAAGAAGAGAAAGCGAGGGCTGTGATCTGGATTTGTCTCCACAGAGTTCACCTGTTAGACAATTACCAAATTAATCTGTTAATGGTGTTTAGAGGTATAGCCTGTGGGCTACAATAAGGTTAAATGAGCCCCCATGATGGCCTTGGTGGCTTTATAGATAGAGGTAGGGGGACCTTAAGCTAGCACATGCCTCTATCTTGCCAAGCTCCATTCTCTACCATGTTACAGTCTGGAAGCCTCTTAGCAGATGCTGCCCACTTGTGGTGGACTTGAAGGAGCCGTGAGCTAAACAAACCTGTGTTCTCTGTAAACTGCTTGGTCTCTGGTATTTTGCTATAGCCACAGAGAAAGGAAGGTGTCTGGACTGTCACTTATGGAAGGCCCTTTCCACCTGTGAAGCTCACTGGCATTTCTTTGGTTGCCCCTAGGTCTGCAAGATCGTGACAAACTCTGTGACCACCAAGCTGCATCCTTATGTCCAGACTCTTCCAGGTGAGGGCTGGGAGTGGGCAGAGGGTGGATGGGGGCTATTGGGGGCCGGAAGGGAGGCAGAGTGGATGGAGCAGCTCTGAGTCTGATGGAGAGGGGCAGACAAGCTGCGGTCCTCCACAGCTAGCACTGGGCCAGTTCCTTGTACATCCAGAAGTGAAGTAGAAGGCAACTCCTTCCCCCAGTCAGGTAGAAGGCAAACACCCTGGCACCCCAGCGCTCCATTGTCCCTGGCACCCTAGTACCCTTGCACCCTGGCACTCCAACACCCCAGCACCCCCTCACTCTGGCTCTCTGAGGCCACCGACACGCACAACCTGAGATGAGAGACTGCCCACTTCTATCTAAACCTCAGTTCCCATACCCTGAAAAGGGAACAATACCTTTATACATAGCAAATGGGCAGTGAGCAGAAGCTGCTGCTGGCGGGCATCCCCCTGCCCCAGCCTCCTCACTTCACTTCTGCAGAAACTAAGACTGAGAGAGGGGCAGACACGAAGAGTCCAGATCACAGTGTAAGAATAAAATGTTATTCTTTGGAAATTTTCAGACATTTCTATGATGTGTCTTACTCATATCCACTGGAAGCTGGGTCTGACCCCATGTGGACTACAGCATCACAGGTCCATAATGAGTGATCCAGTGCAGGATGAAAGAACAGCTCTCTCTCTCTCTCTCTCTCTCTCTCTCTCTCTCTCTCTCTCTCTCTCTCTCTCTCTCTCTCTCTCTCTCTCCTGCAGCCCAGGCTAGCCTCAAACTCTCATCAACAATCTGGCTGGCTTCAAACTCCTGCCTCTGCCTCCCACATAATGGGATTACAAGCATGCTGTTCCCTCACTGAGCCATTGCTATCTGTGTGTGAGAGAGAGAGTGTGTGTGTGTGTGTTTGTGTGTTCATGTGTGCATGAGTCTGGGCACTGAACTCAGAACCTAGCATTGGCTCACTAGGTGCTGCAGCCCATTCTCCATTGACAGACTTCATTTCTTTTATGGGAATCACGGGGAGTTCCTGTGGGGTGATGGAAAGAGACCACAGTTGCCCTTGTGGCCATACAGGCTACTGCCATTGGAACGTGCTCACAACCCATCTTCTTTTTGTCTAGTGATAGCTAGAGTGGATGAAGCGGCCGCGATTGACTACAGTTTGCTGGTCGTGACAACCACATCTGAGTTCCTGAAGGGGCAGCTAAAGGTGAGGCTTCCACAGAGATGGGCGCCTGCTCGAATGTTCACCCTGTAACCCTGGAAACTGAGTTCTTCCTATGTGTTTTACCCCATTCCACACTCCCCTGCATCCCCAGCTCCAGCCATGATGGCCACCAACATTCCAGAAAGTGCCCGTGCCTCCCCCTGCCCAGGGCCTTTGCTCTCGCTCTCCCCTCTGCCCAGGGCTCTCTGCAGCAGATAGGTGCACGGCTCTCCAAGCTTCCCTCCAGTTCTTGATCAAATAGGCTCCCGGGGGTGTCCTCCCAGGGATGCTTTCCCCAACCAGTCATGCAGAAGTAGGCCCCATCACTGTATCCCGACACTGCCTTTATCTCAGCGGTACTAATTACCCCACACATATACTGTGGAGAGGGGGGCAGGGGCTGCTTCGTTCGCTACTGTACATGTAGCACCTGGAAATACGTTTGGTGCAGGATGGGTGCTCAGGAAACTTGTTGGATGGGAGGAAGGAAGAAAGGAAAGGTAGGCAAGGCAACAGAGGGTAAGAAATGAGTGGCATCACCTAATTCAGCATTTCTCAACTTTCCAATGCTGTGACCCTTTAATACAGGTCTTCATGTTGTGGTGACTCCCATCCATACAATTATTTCATAGCCACTTCATAACTGTAAATTTGCTATTGTTATGAATCATAATGTAAACATCTGATTTGTGGGATATCTCATATGCGATCCCTATAGGGCTGGAGGCTCACAGATTGAGAACTACTGGCCTAAAGCTTACCATTCAGAAATAAGCACCATCAATAAGACTGATGGAGACACTCCAGTCCTTCTCTACAGCAATACAACATACACAGAGAGAACCCGATGGGGGAACAGACAGAGAGAGACACCAAGAGAGACAGAGACAGCACACACACACACACACACACACACACACACACACACACACACACACACTTCACAATACTCCTGTAAGCACTGGATCCATCACTGAGCCAGAGGAATACAATGTAGACAGCTCCCAAGCACTGCCCCCCTCTCCCCTTCCCGGCCAAATGTCTCCTGTGGCCTTTCACTGGTGGCTTTGTCCTTTAATGAACAGCAGACCACCTGGGACAGCTGAACTTTTCTCAGGTGTCCCATGCAGCTAACCAGAGCTGCAGTTGGTACTGAACCAGACCCATTTTATTCACTGTGTGGCATACTGGTACTAAAAGGACAAGGGTTATTCATATGATGGCTAAGTATGAGTCTCTAGTTCTCCCCAAGGATGAGCTTGGGGACATTTATGGGCTAGGACCTGGGGAGAGGTGATGGGAGGTTAGCCAGGGGCAGACTGGAGGATGGAAAAGCAAGGAACTTGGGGCAGGTGACGCTGCACAGTGATCCAGGAAGAGCAGGCAGCTGTGTCCGCAGGTATCACCCTGACAGCTCTCTGTCCTCCCATGATTACTCTCTAGAGGTGCTGGGCAAGACTGAATGCTCCAGACACCCACATGTTACGAGCACTTTCCCGCCAGCCTGGTCTCAGAGCTGCATCAGCCCCAAAATAACATACAGAGACACTGTATTAGTTATGAAACTGTTGGCCTGTTACTAGCGTTTCTTATTGGCTAGCTCTGTCTTAAATGTTAACTCATTTCTATCAATCTAAGTGTTTCCATCTTACTGAAGAGAGGGTCTGGACCTCTTACTCCTCTTGCATCTTACATTTCGACTCCTTTCTCCTACATCTCTCAGAATCCTCCTTGTCTCCTAGTCCTGCCTGTCTTTCTTCCCTATAGGCCAACAGTGCTTTATTCATTAACCAATAAGAGAAATATATTTACAGAATAACATCTCCCATCATCCACATACACATAATAGTGCACACATACATATGGACACACATGCATGAATACACATAGTGCACCACAGGCACATACATACGTATGGCATACATACATGCACACATACATACACATGCACACACATAAACACTTACATACGTATACACATATACACATATTCAAATACACACATCTGCTCTTGGTTGATGACCTGTTTTGCATGGGGCTTGGTGCTGTCCTGCTTGTATTTCTCTCCTAAGGTTGTGTATTGAAGCTAGTGTCCACTATCTTTAAGAACTACCTGGTTAGCTGAATGTAGTGGTGCATGCCTCTAATCCCAGAACTTAGAAGGCAGAGGCAGGAGGATCTTTGTGAGTTCAGTCTGGTTTACACAGCATGTGTTGTGCTAGCCAAGAAGGAAGGAAGGAAGGAAGGAAGAGAAGGAGGGAGGGAGGGACGGAGGGAGGGAGGGAGGAAGGCACAAGGAAAAGCAAAGGGAAAAAGGAACTATATAGCGTTTCACCGTGTGGGCAATATGGACATTAAAGGACAGCATGAGTCAAAGGTTCAGAAAATGGGGCTGGGCTATAACGCAGTGGCACTGGCCCACCTGGATGCATGACACCAAACGTTCAGGGAATATCAGGGAATGTCCCCCACTGCCCTCCTGTCTGCACCAGGCACCACACTGGCTACAATGCTTGTCTTTTGTTCGTGCACACTTTAGACTTTCTGTGCTCTTTAAGTTTTACATAAGTGGCATTCTACCATATACCTTAATTTGCTTTCCTGAGCTAGACATTATTTTTCTTCCTAAGTGAACAGTCTGCTTTCTTTGCACATTGTCAAAGTGCTTTGTAGAGACACAAGGAGCATGTGTCCTCCTAGCCGCATGTAGCACTTACCAAAAGCCCTCCCTGCCTTCAGCCTTCCTGATTCCGCTAATGGGACAGAGGAGGCAATCTGTAGGCCACTGTTCTTTTGCTGCTGCTGAGCTGACTGGCAAGAGGGAATGGCGCAGTGGGAAGAGGTGTTAGCTGGACGCCTCTGCCACTTACCGGCTGTGTGACCTTCTTGTGCCCTAGGATGCTAGAAAGTGCTCCCAGGTGCCCCACGCTGCCACCAGCAGCTCCTGCTCATGCCCAGCTGGTTCTCTCCCACCTTTTACTGAACTAGAGATGCTCACCTGCGATTTTAGGACACCCAGACCTGCTCTGTTCTTTCCATCCAGGGGGAATTTTTCTGTCAGGGACACCGCATCCCACTTCCTATTACCCCACCAGCAATGAATTTTTTTTCCAACAATGACCACATGGTGCACCTGGGCATCTCCGACTACTTCTTTAACAGCGCAGGATTTGCATATCATGAGTGTGGGATCTTGAAGATAACCCTGAGGGACCATATGGTGAGTGTGGCTGACTAAGCGCAGAAGAGCAATGGACCCCACATCCAGCATACCTAAGTGGAAGGCTTTGTCCACAGGGGCGGAGTTCAAAGTGCTGTGAGGATCAGGAGGCAGGGAGCCCCGGGTTCAAGTGTTGGTCCCACTCCTTTTCAACTGAGGCACTCTAGGTCACTTATGTATCCTTGTACCTCAGACTCATCTGTAAGCCACTGACACTAGTGTCCTCCCCAGAGGCCATTGTATTAACTGAAACAACAGTGTGAGAGGCTGGGACCCCAGGCTCAGTGAGAGGCAGTGACCCCCCTCAACCCACACACACACACACACACACACAGCACAATGTTATTCCCACCCCTGACTTACCATCATTGGCTCTCACCACATACTCATGGCTGGACTCACTCTGGACCTCAGTTTCCCTGTCTGTACATAATGAAGTAATCCCCTTCTCTACAGCATGGCAGGTATAGCCATCCCAGCCTGGCCACCTACACCCCGGGTCCCTTTTACAGCACTCCTCCAAAACCTAGGGTTCTCCTCTCTGTGTAGGAAGACATGCAGAATGCCCGCTACCCACTATGGAAGAAAACACAAACCACCCAGAGGAGCCAGGCTGCTTACTCACAGCAAGACTGGTCCCCATGGCTGGTGGACCTCAAGGGTCAAAGGTGGCAGGGGTGGGTCATCACAGTGTGTGTTCAGTGGGGAGGTCAGACTGCTGTGATCGGAGGGGTAGCATGGAGGCAGGCTGAATGAAGCAGGCACTCTGTCCTTGGTGTGGCAGCAGATGGTGTCACTGGCCACACCCACCCTTCCTAGCCAATAACTAACCAAGTTGTAGTGTCAGCTGGTATTGCCACAGTGGTCCCTGTGTGCACTGATTCTCACGCCTGGCCTGGCATACACCTGTTCTCAGCTTTGGCAATCCCCTAATGTCCTTTCCTCTCCTTGCCGCAGTTGCCAACAGATTCCAAATTCCGCCTGAACACTGAGTTCCTTGGGATCTTCCTGCCTAAGGTAGGAAAGAAAGCCTTGTCTCCTCACTCAGCTAGGTCACCAGAGGGCCAGGGAGGACTGGACCGTCTTGATAGGATGAGAGCCCCCTTCTGGCCCATAAACATCAGGAGAGAACGCAGGTGTCTCAGCAAAGCCTGGCCAGGGATAGCCCAGGTGTCCCACCAATGCATCCATCGAATCCCTGCTGAGCTGGGGACCAGAACACACTGCCTACCTGCCATCCCCACACCTCTGTCTCCTCTGCCTCCCCTTCCCCGCCACCTTCCTCTCCCCTTTCTGATTCCTTCAGTCTTCTCCTTCCTGCATCTCTCAGACCTGTGAAGGCAGGAGTGTTCCATTCAGGTACAAGGCAGTTAAATGGACAAACCATGCATGCAGACTGTGATGGTGACATCAGTGGGTAGATGAGGTTAGATGAGGCTCTAGACAGGGTGGACAGGCGGGTTCCTGTTGCAGGCTGAATGGTTTAAGCCAGAAATGTATTTCTCAGACTTCTGTGCACTGGAAGACCAAGACTGGAGCTCTGGGAGGACAGTCTGCAAGCCAGAAGTCCAAGGGGAGGGAGAGGAAAGCGCTGGCATCCCCTCTTCTGAGGGGAGGAGCGCTCAGCTCAGAGCCCTACACTCATGGTCTCATTCAACCTGGAGTCCATAGAGGCCCATCTCTTAGAGCTAATGTGAATTGTGGAAAAGGAACACAAGCATTCCATCTACAATAGTGTCTAGAACTGTTGTCGAGGAGGTGGTGGCTGGGGAGGTATGACTGATAGAAATGCCCAGATTTGTCTTGGACATTGGCCCTGTAGTTGTTGCTCTTACCTCAGCTGGATTGCCTGCGGGGAGGGTGGAAGACTTGCATGGGTCTCAGAAACTTTCTATAAAAAGGACCTCTTCTGTCATTTGTCACTTGTACTGGGAACTGCAGGTGGCCATGAAGTTTCCCAGCACAGAGGTGCAGCTCCTCATCTCAGCCTCTTTGCCTCCACAACTGAGCATACAGCCCTCAGGCCTCTTGCTGGACCCTGCCATGGAGACCCAGGCCTTTGCCGTGCTCCCCAACGCCTCCCTGGTCCCTCTTTTCCTGCTTCGCATGGTAAGCTGGGTGGGGACCCAGATTCAAGCCCAAATTCTGCGACTCCACAGCCTGAGCCTAGAGACACCCGGCTCACCTGCTCACACTCCTACAGGCACTTATCACCAGCTGTCCTGTGCCTTTGCTTATTTATGTGTAGCTATCACTCCCTCATCCTTTCACTCATTCAGTAATTCATTCCTTCGTGGCATGAAACAGTTCCCAGCTGCCTGTCTTTGGTGATTCAGATATGCGTGTGTGTGGTTTGTCAACCATCCATTTACCTATTTGTCCAATTTTTAATTAAGTCGATTACTCATTCTCATGTGAAATATGCTGTCCCTTTTCTGGCCCCTACACCCATCGCTTATTCAATTATTCACCGATTCATTTGCTTAAACCTGTGTTCACTGGGCCCTTCATTCATCACTTACTCATCCATGCATATTTTTGAGTGTTCCTTCACCTGTGCATTCACTTACTCCTTAATGTGCTCAAATTTTCATCCACTGCTGATGTGTACTCATTGTCTGGTCCACCCTGTTGCTACATAAACGGCTGGTGGTCCTTGCATGTGTCCAGCATCTCCCCTAACAGTGGACACCAGTGGCCTGTGGAGCACCTACAGGGGTCTACAGCCTCCCAGCAGGGCGCGCTAGAAACCTGTGGCCAGTCTGCCCCATTCAAACTGAAGCCCACTCGAGAGATGAAATGGGTTCTGATTCAGTTACCTAAGGCCATAGGCAGGCCACAAGCTGAGGTGGGGCTTCTCTTCCTTAGTTTAGTAGCTTTCGAGTGAAGCTGTAGGTAGCTATGGTGATGACAGGCCAGCTGAGATTTCCAGCCTTTGTCTCCTCCCCACCCCAGGCTGACAGTCCAGGACTCTCAGAACCACAGGGCCAAAGCCTTTCTCCCTGCTTCCCGGGCTCTGTGGGTACGACCCAGAGGTATGGCCGCTCTGCTGGCCTCTCCTTCCCCTGTCAGGGGTCAGACCAGTTACCTGGATCACTTGCTTCACAGAACACAAACGCCTCTTTGGAACTGGACGCTGAAGCAAACAGACTCGTTGGAGAGATGAAGCTAGAAAAGTAAGCCTGTGGGGACAGGAGGAGGTGGGTGCCCATCCATTCCTGGGTCCGCAGGGGAGTAGTGGCCTCTCCACACACTCAGCACCCAGTCCTGGCCTTGGTCTGCCTGACCAAGACTCTGATGGTGTGCTCAAAGCCAGAGGTGGCGGTGACTTGGAGAACTAGAACCCTGCCTGGGTAACGTAGTGAGACCCTGTCCCAAAGCAAAGCTGAAGACAATTGAGAATATGACTTGGTAGGGAAGCACTTGCCTGGCATGTGTAGGGCCCTGGGTTTTCTCCCCAGCACTGCCAAAGAAAGCAAGAAACCAAACTGCTGTTCAGAGGCAAGTGACTCACCCAGGTTCATACATATGTGACCACATGTCCCAGTTTACCCAAAATGGCCTGGACTAGTGAGTAGGCCATGGGTCCAGGTGACCGACAAGCCTGAGGCTTCCAGGCTGAGCAGAGCCAGGTGCCCCTGTGATGTCGTTGGGAGCCAGCCAGAGTCACTCTGTCTCTCGGTTTTACTGTCCCCGGGGTTGGCTTCATTACCTGCAGGCTGTCCCCACAAGCAGCATCCTAGACAGCAGGAGAGAGATACTCACTTGCTCTTCTAGAAGCCTTGGGACCGGCTTCCACTGGGCAGAAACACTAACCATTCTGGGGACATGTGACTCTCCCCAAGGAAGAGCCTGGGACATGCTGAGAAAGCACACTGGCTCAGAAGCCTGGGTGGTGCCGTGGGTGTGTTCCCGGCCACTCAGGATGCCAGACGGCCTCATCTCTTCCCCCCAACCCCCCCAACCCCTCCAACCCCCCCAACCTCCCCCCCCACCATGCAGGCTGACATTGGAACTGAAGCACTCTGATTTTGGCTTCTTTGAGGTAAGTTTGAGCCCTGCTGAGGAAGCCCGGCCCACCCACCCTGCACATAGCTTGCTCTGTGGGCAGGCAACCTGAACCCTGGTCCCTGCACTTATAGACTATGAGGCCTCAGGCCAGTCACCTGCCTTGCCGGAACTCACCCCTTCCTCACCCGAGCTTGGGTGCTGGGATTCCACTGGGACAAAATGCACACAAAAGAACTGCTTGGTGTGTTTGTTGGATGGACAAACTCATTACTTTACTGAGCCCCAGTTTCTGGATATTAGAGGATGAGATCAAGCTGAGTGCGTTCACCCCAGCCCTTGAGAAGCAGAGCCAGGCAGATCCCTGTGAGTTTGAGACCAGCCTGGTCTACATAGTAAGTTTTAGGCCAGCCAATGCTACATAGAGAGAGATCATGTCTCAAAGAAAGAGGCAGAAAAGTGGGATCAAGGAGGCTAAACGGAGGAGGTGATATGTGGCTGTGAGAATGAGCCAGCATCAGCAAGAGCATAAGTGACAGGACCATCTTGGCATGTGTGGGGAATGGAAGGAACTAGGAACTTATGTCCTCTATGATGCTTAGAGGACTTAAGAGATGTGGCCAGTGAAGCAAGCTAAGGCTGGATCACTCAGGGCCTTCTAGGTAAAGCGGAGGAGAGAAGATAAAGTTCAAGGGCAGTGAACAGCCCCAGTGAGCCTGTCCTTTCAGGGAACCGGGAGCTGTGGTTAATGCCACTCTTATGGCCCTGTAACCGGTTAGACGAAAGGAACGGCCACAGGACACAAGGGTGTGACCGCATGGGTGTGAAGCCAAGAATAGAGAAAGGAGGGTGGAATTGATGGGAGATGTTTGTGGGAAGGAAGGCATCGTGGTGGCATCCAGGTTGTGGCTGAGTGAGTAAATGACCCAGAAGAGGTCTGGCCACGTGGCTGCCCCTTTTCCCTCAGTCCTGCCCATAGACCTCCACCCAGTGCACAGCCATCGAGGCCGAGGCTCCTAGAGTACCAGCAGAACCCTGCTTCCCATTGCTTTGCAGAGAGCCTGCCTTTCCTACTGAGGGCCTTGGAGCCTCCTCCGGCTCCAGAATTGCAATGTCCCAGCCTGCCATCCCCAACTCTGCTGAAACTCCATCTGGGATAATAGCAAACAGAAGGCCAGCTTGCCCCTCCTGGGGCTTCCCCTGAGGAGGCTGGCTCCAGCTAGTAACTAAATTCTGCTCCTGCAGGAAATAAAAATGCACTTTCCCAGATGAAGAGCTAGGAGGGCACCGCACCGAGGTGCCCCAGGGAGCACAGCCTGGGGAGCCAGCACGATTACCCAGAAACAAAAGCATCACATTTATGAGCAGGGTCATTGCTCCAGGCAGACATCCTGATAATAGGTTCAGGTTATTTATTTATTTATTTATTTATTTATTTATTTATTTATTTATCATCATCAAAACAACACACATGCAGCACTAAGCACCTGGAACCCACACTTTTGCAACTCCAAGTAGTGAAATGCTTATGTGTATTCCTACCACTCAGTTCATGATTTAGAATATAGCCTTCCAGCTGGGCGGTGGTGGCACACGCCTTTAATCCCAGCCCTTTCAAAACAGAGGCAGGCAGATCTCTGTGAGTTAAAGGCCAGCCTGGTCTACAGAGCTAGTTCCAGGACACCCAAGGCTACACAGAGAATCCCTGTCTTGAAAACAATATATTCTCCATCCTTTCTGGCTTTTCAGTGTGCCTCTTTAATTAAAATTTAGACTTCCTTGGCTCCCAGAGCCTCCTTCCGCTTCACACATTGGCCCATCCCTGTGCTGATGGTAACATTCCTACAACACCATTTAATGGCTCCCTGCTATTTCTTGGTATCAAAGTAGCACCACATCCCCCAAGTGAGTTGCCTGCTGTTGGACTCAGTAGTTCCATGAGTTTATTGTTTGTGTTAAATTGACTCGTGGAAGACTCTTGTTTCTCAGATTTTGCTTTTATCCCATGTTATTGCCTTTCCTCCACCCCATGGGAAGGCTGCATGAGGCCTATTACTGCCCCAAAACCACACATTTTAAAATAAGGGCCTTCCTTCCTTTCTCCCTCCCTTCCTCCTTCCCTCCCTCCCTTTCTTCCTTCCTTCCTCCTTCTTTGCTTTTTGTTTTTTGAAGCAGGGTTTTACCCTTGTCACCTTGGACTGGAACTCACTATGTAGACCAGGCTCTTAAAGATCCACCTTCCACCTGTCTGTGGCTCTTGAGTGCTGCCATTAAAGGTGTGTGCTGCCATACCTGGCTTGTTGGTTAGTTGGTTGGTTTTGAGCCAGGACTCAAGGTCGCAGGAGTCTGTGCTGATCTCAAACTCATGATCCTCCTGCCTCAGCCTCTGAATCACAGGCATGCCCCATGTCTTCTTATTAGCAAGGCTTTTGTTGGCCACTGTGGAGGAGCCCTGAAAAGCCCCCTTTCATAGTCTCCCAACCTTCTGTGTCCCTGTGACCTTGCCAGCTGCCCCATTTCCCCGTGTCTTCTGCATCTTGTGCCCACTCTGGGTGCTTCTCCAGGCTGGGAGGCTGTGGAGAGCTGGGCGGCAGGGAAAGGAGGTGTGATGAAGGGTGGTTGCCCTGATGATGTAGCCCCACCCGCCCTTCCCATTTGAAGGTGGAGTTGCTACAGGCTGCCATAAACTACCTCGTGCCCATAATGGTGCTGCCCAAGATCAATGGTAAGGAGCTTTGAAGAAACCAATGGTTTTCAATCCTGGTCAGAAGGGCGGGGTTGCCTGCCTGCAGTTCCTGGTTCCTGGCCCAGGTTAGAGGGCAGAGGATGTGGCCCTCAAATGACCTCAAATGACATCTGACCCTGGGCTCCTCCTCTACTCCCATTCCTTACATCATTTCTGCCTGTGAGGTAGGTGGTTCTTGAGTGACTTTTTCAAGGTGGTGTAAAACTAACATCTATCCCCATGTAGGGATCACATCAGTAGCCCCTAAACTGACTTACCCGGGTTCGTCTTCATGGGAAAGATGGGTCTATGATGAATTCCTCAGGGCTGACCCAAGCTACCCCAGGTTACTAAACTATCCCCTTGTGCTTGCATGCCTCAGTTCCACCCCAGTTTATGGAGTGCGGGGGTTGTCCATCCTCAGCTTCATCTGCAACATAGAGGGGCTCTGTGTACAGATACCCCCCAACCCCAGGTCCATGCTCTGTCTATGTAGCCCCTGTTTTCACTCAGGTGTGGTATAGAGCAATGGTGTGTACCCTCGAAAAGGGAAGTCATTGGGGAGAGGCCCATATAGGTCCTGCATGTGGGCTTGCGGGCTGATGGACGACAAAGGAGCTGGGCACAGACACCAGGGCAGCCTTGCTTCCAGGCATGCAAACCTGTGCTGGCCCCTGCTGCTCCCAGGCGTGCAAACCTGTGCTGACCCCTGCTGCTCCCAGGCATGCAAACCTATGCTGGCCCCTGCTGCTCCCAGGCATGCAAACCTGTGCTGGCCCCTGCTGCTCCCAAGCGTGCAAACCTATGCTGGCCCCTGCTGCTCCCAGGCGTGCAAACCTGTGCAGGCCCCTGCTGCTCCCAGGCATGCAAACCTGTGCTGGCCCCTGCTGCTCCCAGGCATGCAAACCTGTGCTGGGCCCTGCTGCTCCCAGGCTTGCAAACCTGTGCTGGCCCCTGCTGCTCCCAGGCATGCAAACCTGTGCTGGCCCCTGCTGCTCCCAGGCGTGCAAACCTGTGCTGGCCCCTGCTGCTCCCAGGCATGCAAACCTGTGCAGGCCCCTTCTTCACTTCCTCTTCTCTTGTCTCACACCATAGAGAGGCTGCGTAAAGGCATTCCTCTCCCTTTGCCTGCTGGGGTCCAGCTCAACAACCTCATGTTTCAGTCCTACCAGGTAAGTCCCCAAGGTTTCTGGTCACCAAGTGTCCCATAAGAACAGTAACCCGCAGCCGCAGCCAAGCCTCCTCTGTGCCATACCCTGCATCGAGCCCTTCCTAGCCTCACAACATCAATAGGACACAGAGAGAGCTGGCACTCAGGAAACCAGGGCATCAAATGAAGTTCACAGTCTAAGGCAGGCGCCTTGCTTTTACACGATTGTCGCTTGTTCCTGTAAACGTGGATTCATCAAGTAGACACACAGTTCTTTTTAGGTGGGTGTGTCTAAGTGCTGAAAATGGGGGGGGGGGGAGACTTGGTCTGACCTGAGGTGGGACCATGTTCATGCATAGGGAATGACTTTGTCACCCACATGTGTGGATGGCCAAAATGCCTACAGGAGAAGATGGGATGCAGCCTCTTGTAGGGGTGGAAATGACTTTTGTAGTCCAAAAGGGAAGCTGGGAAGTCTTTCACGGCTAACTATCACCTAAAGCATGGTGTACCAGCATCATTCTGTTACATTTACATACAGAGTTCTATCCCAGCCTGTCCTACAGGTATGTGACACCTGAGGTTTGCATACCTTTCTCTGAGTTTCCAGGCCCCTGGGCTCCTGGGGTCTTTCCCTCAAATGTTTCAGTCTCCCTTTCTTGTTCTGTCCCTTCCCTGAAGACCAGCAATCCCGGCCTTCCTCCCCAGGGATCTCCACAACCCCCCCCCCCGCCTCCCCCACCGCCCCACCGTATTACTGGCATTCTTGATCACCCTCAGCAACTCCTCCACCCAGCTTCCCAGCCAGGGGACCAGCCTTCCTCTATACTGTATGTGTCAGCCCCCTCCCTCGCTCAGTGTCTGCACTCCATAGCCTTTCCATAGCTACACATCCCAATAAACCCATAACCCCACAGGGAAGCCCTCACCTGGCCCTGAGTTCCCACCTCTGCGGACAGCTTGCTTTTCTGACATGTGGCCCTTATGAGAAAGTCCTGTGTCACCAAGTTCCTCTCTCTAATGCCTGGTGGCAGTCGATCCTGGTTCTTTAGACCAGGGAGCAGCTGATGATGAGACTGGGAAACGACAGGTGACAGAGCAGATGAATCTGCCCCCTCTCTCCCAGCATTCCCCATCCTCCCGGCATCGCTGTTCCTGAGTGTTATCAAGGTCATAATTTAATTTCTTCATTTAGAAACAGAGGGAAGGACACTCAGGGCAGAGAATCATTTTTCAGCCTTGACTGGAACCAGGTCTTGTGAGCTACTGCAAGGCAGGGATAATACACACAGGCCCCCAAGGTAGCCAAGAACACACCTACCAGGGAAGCTCGAGTCATCAGCGCTGTCGCACAGACCCACTGTTGACGCCCTAGGGTCCCACTGCCTCCTGCCTTTCTCGAGCAGACTGGCCTTACCCTGCCCCCATCTTAAGCAGACCCCCCAAATTTTCTTTTCTTCAATGTGTATATGTGTGTGGCTTGCACGTTGTGTGTTTGAATGTGTGTGGATGCTTGTTTATGTGCATGTGAACGTGACATGTGTGTGGGCACACACCCATGGAGCCAGAAGGTGACATGGAGTGTCTTCATCCATCACTCTCTACCTGTATATTGAGACAGTTTCCCAGCCAGGCTGCCTTCTTAAAATCCCAATCCAGCAGCCAGGGTGCACCTCAGCTAACAGTGTCTGTCTCTCCCTAGAATTTCCTGGTGCTTGGAGCAGATATCCACCGGATCTGAGCGATCACCGCAGGCCCTGGGCCTGGGAGCTCTGCAGGCGCTCCCAAGGGAGCCACAGCACTCACAGGATAGCCTGCTCCAGGAATCCTTTAGTCTTTGGCCCTGCCCCCCCCCCCCAGCCCGTGCTCACTTCCTGAAGCTCAGCTCTAGATATAACCCAAACCTGTTGAAGTTGAGCACAGGAAAAGAGGGAAGTTTGTATGCCGAGGCTCCACGCCTCTTTCAGAGCAGCCCCTCCAGCACTATTTTCGCTGAAACTGTGACAATACTTTGGGCTTTGCAAAAACACCTGTTTTTCCCCCCCTGCGTATTGTGTGTGCTGGTGTGGCTTCTTGTCCATTCATTAATGCATTCACTGGCTATAGCCAGCGTGGCCTGCACGTGTACTCTTGAGTCCCTTACACCTACATTAGCACAAACTCCCGCTGTTGCAAGTGTCCTTGGTTTTGAGAGGTGGTGTGTCTCCTGAGCTATTGTTCCTGTCGCTACCATATGGTGTCGCTATTTTCGGCACTCCTGAACAGCCTATTGACTTCCTGCGGCCCATGATGAAACTGTTGTTCCTCATTACCACATGGTGGCGCCGTTGAGCACGTGACCAAAAAAGCTGGTGGTCTGTGCTATCCTGTGATATCCAGGCCCTGGTGTAGGAGCCATCAGTCCCAGGTTCTCTGGGACTGGTGTCGATCCTGCTGGGGGCTTTGGACATTCCCTTCCTTGAGACATCTGATGGGACTGCCCAAGCCTGTTAGATGCATTTTATATGGATCAAGTGGCCCCTAGGCCTCTCTGGACTGGGGACCTTTGGTCTGAGACCAGGATGACAAAGGAGAACACATCTAAAGGTTGAAGCAGTAGGTGGGGCCTGGGTGCCATGATCAGTTTCATTTTTAAAATGGTATTTCAGTGATAGCTGAAAGCTTTGGAAAGGCAAAAGTGAAATAGAGTGACCGGAAGGAGGGGTCTAATGATGGCAGAGACGGAGAGAAGCGTTTGCAAGGAGGAAAGTAGGCGAGTGGTCTTCATAAAGAAGGATTCACACACCTGCTGACATCATGACTTTGTTAAATGGAGCATGAAGCTGCTCCAGGGCCACTAGCCCAAACCCACAGGACCACCCCAGCCCAGGAGGATTTCATTCAGTCTTCAGTACATTCCATCTCCCTCATTCTGGGACTCATTCATGTCTTTCCAATTGGGTCAATGCCAGTCACAAAGCCCCACTTGTAGCAAAGCCGGGTTTCCTACACCCCTGCCCTCCTCAGAGCCCGAGCACTTTCTGTTTCTTCCAGTTGTCAGAACTGTTTGGGAGGGCAAGGGCGTTGGCAGGTAGGAGGTAGGAGTTCTGTGTTTAGTTGGCTAGGTCACACACTGTAGAAAGGCACCAAGACTCGGGAAACAAAAGTTCTTCCTCTAATTTATCCAGTAGGAAGGTGCACCTGCTTCTATTTGCTGATGGCCAGTAGAGGACCCGACTTAGGACCAGAGAGCAGCAAGGAGGCTCAGAGGAAGAGAGTAAGGAAGGCACAGTGTGAGATGAGGCTGCTTTGGTCTCAAAAGCTAAAGGAAGCCTTTGGGAGTGTTTTGAGCACAAGAACGACACAATCCGGTTGCAGAGATGTCTCAGCCACTGAGAAAGCTGGCTGCTCTTGCAGAGGACCAGAGTTCCGTTCACATCAGGCCCACAAGCTGCAGTAACTGTAGCTCTGAGTGATCTGATGCCCTCTTCTGATCTCTGTGGGTACCTGCATGTGCACATGCCCACAGACAGACAAACAGACAGACAGACACATAGACATGACCCAACACTCATATTTTTGTCTCTCCTTGGGCTGTTACACACATGAAGACACAGCCCTCTGCTCCCTCACCCTATCTCCCATAATCCTCTTTGTGACTAGCTAAGGTTCCCCTGAACTTTCTGGCTACTTTGCAACATATATGGCCACCCCTGCTCTAAAAAGCAGTCATGTCTGGACCCTAAATGGGCAGGTGGAGCACACTGTTCTCCCAAGAACATCTCTCCAGTGTCAGCACGGTCTGGATTAGAACGGCATGTTCTTCAACAAAGGCCCAGATCAGGCCATCTGCAAAGTTGTTGTCTGAGCCATTTCTCTCCAGGCAGGGACCTCCTGATGCAAATAACCACCAGCGTGCCCTAAGTTCCTTCTAGGGTTGAAAGGCTCTAAAGTTAAATGGTAGTGTGGCTGTGAAGCTCTGTGATAGACCAAAGGACCCCAGACTGCATGGTCTGTATGGGTGAATGTATGGAATGTACTATGATTTATGCTATCAATCTAATCAGATTAACAAACACTTAGAAGACAGGTAAAGTCCATCTTGGGGTGTTTCCAGAAAGGATTAGATCACAAGAGCTTTGACCTAGTGGATGGATGAATCCAGCTGTGAAGGGCAGGGTGGAAGGTAGGAGATGAGGCCTGCTTGGAGGAGGCAGGACACTGGAAGCATGTCCTTGGGGCTGTTTCTCTGGCCCTTCCTACTGTAGTACAAATAAATAAAGACCCAGAGACTGATATTGGGCTTCATATTTCAAGCTGGAAAAAAAAAAAAGCAGCTGATCACTAGCTCTTACTCTACCTCAGACTGAAAGGGCTGATCCTGTCTCCATGAGCTCTCACCAAGCCTCAGACTGTTGCCTCTCCTCAGCATGGCTGGAGAATCCTAAGGCTTCAATATCTTCCTATCCTCAATGTGGCTGGAGAATGAATGCCTGATACTAAGACTTTGCTCCTGTCTTATGTACCTCCCTGATGCTGGGATTAAAGCCATGTGATCCCAGGTGCTGAGATCATCTTTGTATGAGCTGTTTCTCTTTAGCACTGGATCAGTCTTGTGTAGATCTGGGTGGCCTTGGATTCACAGAGATCCATCCACCTCTTAATCCTGAGTCCTAGGATTAAAGGTGTGTACCACCACCTCCTAGCTTCTGGCTCCTGGGATTAAAGGTGTGTAACACCACTGCCTGATCTCTATAGCTTGAGGCTGACTTGGCTTTCTGAATCCTCAGACAAGCTTTAATAAATCATAAATAATATATCACCACACCCAACGATCTTTTTCTGCTTCCTGTCTGTCATGAGTCGGCCACTCTGTTCCACCACAGCCTCTAGACCACGATGGAATGACTCCTCTAAACTGTGAGCCAAATTAAGTCATCCCATGTTTATAGCAGGCAGTTCATCTCTATGATGCCAAACCAAGACAGTGAAATACAATGTCAAGAAGTTATTTTTATTTAATTAAATAATGCTCCCCACTGTAGCAGCTCCCCAGTGGGTCAAGCAGTCATCCTGGAGTGGACAGTCCTTTTTGGTTTTTATGTTAAAGGACCCAGGAAATTTCCAGGAGGCCTCTGCTTGGGTTTGAAGTGATGCCCACACAAGTATGACTTCCCTCCTGCCATGAGGGCTATGTGTCTCATATGGCCATCTCTGTTGCAGGACCTCCCAACACCCCTCACAGGTGACACACTCTTCAATCTAAAGAGATTGTCTGGTGTTATTGGTATTATTTTATAAATTGGTGTGACTCAAGGTTTGCACAGGTGCAGTGTGTGTGTGTGTGTGTGTGTGTGTGTGCGTGCATACGTGCGAGTGTGTGTGTGTGTGTGTGTGTGTGTGTGTGTGTGTAGGGGACTGGGCTAGGAAGGGGTTGCCTCCCTAGTCCCAAATATTTCCCATACTCCAAAGCACCCCACAGAGGCAGTCCATGTGCTGTCCATGACATCATTGTTTTCCAAGAGGAGCTCACAACCTCAGGAGTGTGGGAGCCAGAGTGGAAAACAGCAACAAGCATGGAAGGCCTGGGGTTGGTGGTTGGGGGCTCACTTACCCCATTTCTCTGAGCACAAGCAGTGTGAAGTGAGTTAGAGTCAGAATTTACATTTGCATGAGCTCTGGTGATCTGCCATAAAACACAGGTTCAAGTTGTCCCAGGCCTCTGCCTCTACCACTGGGGGACAGAGGGAAACCCCAGGGAGTGGACATGGACCAGGACTTAGGCTCTGATGCCTTCTTCAAATGTCTTCTTTGCATTCATGCCTCGTCAGCAAACGCAGCCACTGAAGGCCCACCAGTGCTACCATCAAGCCTTCTGTGGTGCTCCTGGGGCTTTAGCAGAGGACAGTTGCTGGGATTTTTACATTTCTGTCTTCAGTGATGACTGCTCCCAAAACGCCAGCTAAGCCTTTGGAAAGGCTTGAGAGCTCTGCCACCAAGGGTCCCCAAGTCCAGAAGCAAGGCTCAGTGGCACCAAGCTGTCCATCAGAGTCCAGGCAGGAACTTGAATGAGGTGCTATCACAGAGTGGGGCACTGGCTCACAAGTTCAAGTCAAGGTGAGGGGCCCGGAAACGAGAGCGGAACCAGGTGTCTAAACCCAAGGAAGGCAGGAGTCACTGAGTGAACCAGGAAGACATGACCCCTACCAGACTGTGGGCCAGGAGAAGTGTCCTGACCTCTGACCTCATGCACTCTTTCCTCTGGCCAAGCCTTAGGCCCACAGACTATAAAATTCACATCATGTTTATCCTTCTACTACTTCCTACTGTGAACTCTACAGCACTGTGAATTCCCATTCCTGGAATTTCCAGCCAACACATTTGCAAACATGGGCCTCAGAGAGAGAGGGGGGGAGGAGAGAGAGAGATGGGGAGGGAGGGAGGGAGGGAGGGAGAGAAAGAGAGAGAGGTGGGGAGGGAAGGAGAGAGAGAGAGAAAGTGCTTTCTCAGCAGAGGAATGAGGAGTGGCCCCCACTCTGTGGATGTGGGTAGACAGCTTTCTGGAAGAAAGACTCCCAGGTCTACCAGCGTCAGAGCCATGTGCTCCCAGAGGTCTCTGATGAATCTTGGAGTGTTAGCAGGGACCTAAGCCAGAAAGGCCATCAGTGGGGGTGGGGTGGGGGTTGGGCTGGGACCTGGCACAGTGGCACACAGGCTAGCAGCTCTGAGGTCCAAAGGTCATTGCTGTGGGAATTTCCCAGTCCTGCAAACAGCTCCTAGCTGGGACCGTTCTCAAATCA